GGAAAAAATAAGAACCAAGATGCATTATGTAAAGGTACAATTCCCAATGAGAAATGTAATTGTGTTGTATCCCTACAACGTACCAATAAAAGAATTAAAAAAAAAAAAGATTGTCTTTTGCTTGTGTAATTTTAGGCAAATAACACATTAGGAAAATGAACAAAATAATAAACAGGCATGCTACAGAAGAGAAAACATAAATACAGAACAGCAATCAGAAAAAGACATATGGGGTTTTCTTAAGTACTGTCAATATTTTTTGTATTTTAAGATTATGGAGATTATAGGGATTTTACCTATAACTATTTTAATTGTGTGTGTATATTTATTCATGTTTCACTAAATATATTTGGGGATTTTACACATGTATACACATGTCTAGCATATTTGTATAAAATTTTAACAAATTTTGAATATAAGAATACCTGGGCAGAAGTAGGCCTTTCCTGAGGATTTTCTTTCAAACACTTTTTAATTAACTTCTCAACCTTAGGCCACGGGGCACAGCCATATTCTCTAACTGGATCTAAAAGATTGAAAAATATCATACTAGTACAGTAACAAAGTTATTTATTTCCTCTGAATATATACGAGAACTCCAGACATTGCAAAGGAAAACACTGATCTCCACATTCCTGTGTTTATTACGAATTTACTTATCACAAAATTAAAGCTAATTTGATCTCTATTTGTGGCAGCAAAAAAGATGTCTTGATCATTCTATGATATAAAAAAAGAGATACAGATACCAACTGAATAAAAAAAGAGATTTCCATTCCATACTTTCATTTAAAATGGACATGGAAAACATTTCTGCTTATATAATAATTAGGCTTCTACTGAAATCCTTTTTATTTTAATATTAAAAGTAAGCATGCATTTTATCTTCATATCTACCCCCAATGGGTTTGTGCATATTTGATTTTTATAAGAGGAATGACATTCTTCAGGTTGGTGCAGAATGCAAACCTACATACTTCTACTGAAAAGCTAACTAATAATATAAACAAAATGACCTTGATGGTTTCTATGACATATTCAAAGAATAATAGATTTCCTTTTCATTTTTGCCAGGATCCTTTGAAGTCCTCCAGTAGAAAAGTTAATGCTACATTCCCTGTACCTGCTCCATTGTGTGTATTCAAAAGTATTTCTTAAGTGAAAAGGAAATGAGAAACGTGAGAAACCTAAATAAATAAAATGGACACTTTGTAGGAGAAATTAAAATAATGATCAAGGAATGAATGATGAGCTCCTAGAATTTCTTGAAAGCATAAGGCAGCCATTAAAAGGAGGCCTGATCTCATTAAGTACTCATTTACCTGTTCTTTTTAATATTTATTACTAACAATTATCATTGTAAATAATTCAGGCTTTCATTCCTGCATATAAATTATTTTGCTCCAAAAAAATGAAAATACTCCTGCCTAGTGGGAACATAGTAACTCTTCATGAGAATTAGAAGTTACCAAATCTGGGGTTCTAACAGCAGTTCTCCTTTCCTGAGTATTCTTGTAACTATAATGCCAAATTCACAAATATTAACTTGGGATTTTTTGTTTTTTCTTTTGGTACCGGGGATCAAACTGGGGTCCTTGCGCTTGCAAGGCAGGCGGTGGAACCACTGAGCTAAATCCCCGGCCCAATTTGGGATTTTTTTGAAGCCTAAAATATTTTTCATGTGATTTTTATTAATGTGTCACAGGATTTAAGAATATCCATGCATCAAACAAAATTTATGTGTAGTGAAATAAATTCAGTATACAACTACTTGGAAATGAAACTGCTGGCAGTAAGGAAAAGTCTTTCTTGGAGACAAAACAGAACTTACCAGGTAATTTTCCTTGTATTGCTAATTCATCAAACTCATTTGGAAATTTCAAACCCTCTACGATTCTACCTCCAGTTGTCAAAATGTCATAGAGCAGCAAACCAAATGAATAAACGTCAGCCTGTTGGTTATAAATGACATTTCCTCTGGCAACTTCAGGAGCACGGAACCCTGAAAAAAAGCAGATACAGCAATAAGTACGCCCAACAACCAGGGGCCACACATCCAAGAAAGTAGATCCTAAGGCCAAACAGAGTCAGGGCCTTGGTTTCTAAGAGGTCTTATGATCTCTGCAAGGAGATATCTGATGAAATCAGTTAATAGCCTTGTCCCCAGAACCACAGCAGGATACAAATCTCCTTCGATCTTTATTATAGAATCCTATAATCCTATTAAAAGATCTTCAATCTTCAATACAATCGCTTTGAAGGATAAAAAGGATAAACATTCAATAATAAATTATAGAGTAGGGAGTTATAATTAATGAAGCAGAGGAAAAAATCTATCATTTTTCTGGCTCCTAATATGACCCATTTTCAGGGCAGTGATTTTGAAAAAGAAGGGTGAGGAGGGAGGAGCTCCCTAGACTTCACGTCAAGTTACTTTAACCTGAATCAAAGTCCAATGCCCTTATTATTTCCACTTCATTCTATCCAATGAAAAAATAAAAATAAAACCAAGCTAAAAGAAATAAAAGTGCCCTCTCTGAGGCTCCTGACTGAAGTTCTTTTTAGAGAGGAATAAACCTTTCATTCCACAAGAGATAAATCACTTTTAATCCTTCAAGAAAAAAATGAATAATTTCTACAATCTAAAGAATTCAACAATATAAAATATCGACAATCTAAAGAAACCCAACCACAACAGGAAAATAGTTAAACGGTGTATACTACACAGTACATTAAAATAATTTTCAAGATGATAAGCTATAACATAAATGAAAAGAAACTATAGGGTATAATTTTGGTCAAAGTTATCTAAAATATGAGAAAAAAATCAACTGAATTTTCTTTTTTTTCCCCATTAAGTTTATTGGTACATTTTAGGTATAAAATACAGTTACATACATCATTGGGATCTTGTAACATTACATGAGTAGCTTGGTTCTTATTTTTTACCCATTCTCCTGCCGTCCCTTCACCCCCTCCACCCTTCCCTATTTACAAAGACTTTGTTTCCATTTTTTTTCCTTTTCTCATATTTTTTTCTTTTCCCTACTTTCCTTTCTCCTACCCCTCCCACTTCCCCTGCTCCTTTACACCTTTTCTTCCTATTACACAATATCAATTATACATTTTTTAAATTACAATATCAAGATCTAGGAGACATTACCACAGATTTTACAGAATTTAAAAGGGTATAGAAAGCATATTACAAAAATCT